GCTTTGGCAATATCAATGTTTCCTGCACACAAAACACATCCAAACTAACCAATCAAATCAGAAACTGAATATGCAATCAGACTAAATTAATTTTCTAAACTCATCAACCATCGTAATCGTATCAAAAATTGCCCGGCAACCTCTCACTATAATACTGCACTGCCTATTGCGAATCACCAACACTACACAACGCATCAAATCAAATCAAATTTAAAACACGGAACTGCCACCGACTTAGCCAAAGGTTGATGCATATCAGCGAGTGGTGCACAAGCACGTAATGCAGCTGAAGGACTCTGTCTGATGAACTGCAATCGCAACAACAACAGCCACTGATCCCAATCCTTAATTCATTCCAATCGTCATTTCTTCACACTATCATTCAATTTCATAACCATTTCAGATATCCACACTCATCACACGATACACTGCAACGTAACAAAACCTCTTTCGAAACCAGCTGCACAACAGTCCATGTTTTCTTCAAAACATCCACATTGATGCGTTGTCCTTTCTCTAGTCTTGATAATGTCGATTGATTTGTCGCTTTCGTTGCGGATATTCCGAACGCAGCCGGTTTCTCTGGAGACGCAGCGCTGCCTTCGTCCAACTTACTCATCAACCTACAACTCATTACCATTATCATCATATATCATTAAACAATCCATTATCACTACGCACCCACAAATGAATAAAACGCCGCTTACACAAAGTATTCATCACAATGAAGATTGTTGCGTATCAAAGCGTGATCAACACTTGCTCGAAACACCATGAACTGTTTCCACATCTATGAATTAAAGTGAAATTTCATGTTTGATTGTTAAATTGAATATCAGAGAACACAATTCGATGACAATATTTGAATAAATTAACGAATAAGACGATCGTTTAAATTTGTAAACAGAAGCGAAATTTGTAAATTGAAGCGAAATGAGAATTTTTCTGGAGGCATGGAATGGAGTGTGATTTCTTTTCGTGACAGAAATCCCGTCCGAACGAATAATGAATATGAAAACAATAAGATGACTATAATGATAGCTACAACGATAATGATTAAGAGAAAAACAAACCTGTTTAACAATAAGCACCAACAAATGCAAGAGCTTTTGTTGCAGTGCAGCAATCGAGATGTTCCTCAGCCAGACCTGCATGATGCGCGGTGCATGCTCGTTCAGACAGATCGTTGTGCCCATGTTATACACCGTGTCCAGTGCATATTGTCTCACATTCACCTTCACACTCCCATCGTCTATAATCGCCAATATAGGGGGCAGTATCAGGTGAACGTACGGTGCTAAACACATCGAGATTGATTCCACACAACCGAACGCCTGCAATACTAACAATAACTGGTCGTATTAACAATATTATTGTTACTCGGATATCGAGTGCTTGTTTTGTCAATCACTGTGAGCGATCGACGGAATATTTATTTCATTAGAGTAATGATTCATTGGATTGCTATTTGACTGCGTTTAATTATGCAACGTATTCACGGCAACTAATTAATTACTCGGTTGTGTTCGGTTGGCCTGCTCGCCTAGCCAGCGGGGTGGCGTGAATTGAGGCTAAAACAATGCGCACGGAAACNGTTTTGTCAATCACTGTGAGCGATCGACGGAATATCTACTTCATTAGAGTAATGATTTATTGGATTGGTATTTGACTGCGTTTAATTATGCAACGTATTCACGGCAACTAATTAAGTATTCGGTTGTGTTCGGTTAGCCTGCTCGCCTGCCAGCGGGGTGGCGTGAATTGAGGCTAAAACAATGCGCACGGAAACATTGCGAGCATTGTGGCCAGCAACGTTACAAACAAACGTTTGATAGCCTGCTTGCCAATTCAGGTAATTAACAATAACACCAATAACAACAACAATAAAACTTCCTCGTAATAATATTATGACAACGAACACTTAACATTAAAACAAAACGCATCTATCGCACTAACCGCACAAGTGAGCGCTCTATCCGTGGATCGATCCGAATAGAACACCTTCAACAGATACGGACACAAATCCGCGACGAACGGTGCAAATGAAGCACCAAACGAAGAACCGATCTGCTGCATGACGTTCACCACTGTCAACTTCATGTTCACATCCTCACTCCATACATCCTGAATCATCATTTACCTCGTACCTCTTTCGTGAAATCACTAGTAATTATAATATCGGTTATGAACACACTCGTACAGTTTTTCACTCATTTCTTTCTCTGCGATTACCTAGCCACCTGTCTTGGCTCTCTATGTGGGCGCAGGTCTACCGATCCCCATG